CTGCTCGTCCTCGATCCTGCTGTTCTGCTGGTGGATCTCGAACTCCTTCCTGCAGAGGAAAGAGGCGGGTGCTGAGGGTCCCACCTCCGCCCCCGGGCGGGTTGTACCCGGGATGGGGGACCACCCTCACTTCTTTAGCTTCTCCTCCAGCTGCTGCTTGTCGTTCTCCAGATCCATGATGTTCTCCTGGGTCAGCTTCAGGTCACCCTCCAGCTTCCTCTTGGCCCGTTCCAGGTCCATCCGGACCTTCTTCTCCTGCTCCAGGGAGCCTTCCAGCTGTGCGGGGACACGGAAACGGGGAGAAACCTCAGGTTTTTCCTCATTTCTGCCCCAGAAAGCTCCTCGGCGGGTCCAGGGGGTGGGACCGGTCGCGCTCACGTCGTCCACTTGCTGTTCCAGCTTGACTTTGCCCTTGGTCAAGGTGTTGACTTTGTCTTCCTCGGCCTGCAGGTCGTCCAGGGTCTGCTGGTGGGACTCCTGCAGGGCCTTCCTCTCCTTGGTCAGCTTGGCGATGGTCTCGTCCAGCCCCGCCATCTCCTCCGTCAGGTTCTTCACCTGTGGGAGCAGCATCCGGTCTCCGGCGCGGTGCCAGGAGCGGGTTCACCTCGGCCAACGGGGCCACTTCAATGCAGAGAACCCAAAACACGTTGGGTCTTCTTGATAAACCCCACCCAACCAGCCTTGGGGTCTTCTCAGTCTGATCCGACCTTCCTTGGGTCTCCTCAACCCAACCCAACCAGATTTGGGTCTTCCCAACCCAACCAGCCTTGGGTCTTCTCAGTCCGATCCGACCTTCCTTGGGTCTCCTCAACCCAACCCAACCAGATTTGGTCTTCTCAACCCAACCAGCCTTGGGGGCTTCTCAATCTGATCCGACCTTCCTTGGGTCTCCTCAACCCAACCCAACCCATCCCACCCAGCCTTGGGTCTCCTCAATACAAATTAACCAGATTTAGGTCTTCCAACCCAACCAACCTTGGGTCTCCTCAACCCAACCCAACCAAATTTGGGTCTTCCCAACCCAACCAGCCTTGGGTCTCCTCAATGCAAACCAACCAGATTTGGGTCTCCTCAATACAAATCAACCAGAACTTGGTCTTCCCAACCCACCCAGCCTTTGGTCTCCTCAACCCAACCCAACTGGCCTTGGGTCTCCTCAATACAAACCAACCAGATTTGGGTCTTCCCAACCCAACCAGCCTTTGGTGTCCTCAACCCAACCCAACCCATCCCACCCAGCCTTGGGTTTCCTCAACCCAACCCAAACAGATTTGGGTCTTCCCAATCCACCCAACCTTGGGTCTCCTCAACCCAACCCAACCAGATTTGGGTCTCCTCAACCCAACCCAACCAGATTTGGGTCTTCCCAACCCAACCAGCCTTGGGTCTCCTCAA